CTAAGAGTATGCATAGACTTTAGGGATTTAAATTCGGCAACCCCTAAAGATGAATATTCGATGCCGGTGGCAGAAATGCTAGTCGATTCAGCCGCTGGCCATGAGTACCTTAGCATGTTGGATGGATACTCTGGTTACAACCAGATTTTCATCGCTGAGGATGACGTTCCCAAAACAGTGTTCCGTTGCCCAGGGGCCTTAGGCACTTACGAGTGGGTAGTGATGCCTTTTGGCCTGAAGAACGTTGGGGCAACATACCAGCGGGCAATGAATTCAATTTTTCATGATTACATTGAGTCTTTTATGCAGATATATATCGATGACATTGTGGTGAAATATGTATCAGGAAAAGCTCATGTAGAACATCTGCGCAAGTCCTTCATAAGGATGAGGAAGTTTGGCCTCAAAATGAACCCCCTGAAGTGCGCATTTTGTGTACAAGCGGGAGATTTCTTGGGTTTCGTAGTTCACAAAAAGGGGATCAAAATCAATCAGAACAAGACAAAGGTCATCATGGAAGCAAAAACGCCATCAAACAAAAAGGAACTGCAATCCTTGCTGGGCAAAATAAACTTCCTAAGAAGATTCATATCAAACCTCAGTGGCAAAACGCAGGCCTTCTCACCATTGCTTCGAGTCACCAAAGAGAAGTTCGAATGGGGGAAAGATCAACAAGAAGATTTCGACAAGATCAAAGACTACTTGACTCATCCTCCAGTCCTTTCTCCTTCATGTCGAAGCAGAAGCATGAGACTGTACATAGCAGCGTTAGACAAAACTCTAGGGAGCATGCTTGCTCAAGAGGACGGGAATGGCGTCAAAAGAGTCATTTACTACCTTAGCAGGGTTTTGAATGACGCAGAAACTAGGTATAGTGAGATAGAGAAATTATGCTTATGTTTGTATTTCTCATGTGTAAAATTGAAGCAATATATAAAGCCAGTTGATGTTTATGTCTCGTCGCATTTTGATATTATTAAACATATGTTATCCAAGCCTATTTTGCATAGTCGAATTGGTAAATGGGCATTAGCATTAACTGAATACTCATTGACGTATAGACCGCTAAAAGCGGTCAAAGGACAGATAGTGGCAGACTTCATCGTCGACCATTCCATAAATGAAAATACCCTGAACGTTATTGAACTAGAGCCCTAGAAGCTATACTTCGACGGGTCTAGCCACAAGAACGGGCCAGACATTGCTAAGGGTCTACCTGCAACAGTAATTGGGATGATTACCTGCGATTCATAGATGTGGCGCTTTTCTTCTGACAAAGGTTCGCGAATGAACTACTGATTCTTCACTACCTTAGGACCGATTAAGTTAGCAAAAGATGGGAGAGCTGATGCGAAAGTTTGCCCTTTGAGCTGCATCTTCTTCTTCTGATGATCGGCCATTGTTGAAATTAGCAAAGGAGTTTTTTAAGCAGAGAAATTTGAGGATGAAGAAACGCAAGAGTCTTGTTAAGAGTTGGAAATGTGGGGAAAAATGACAATACTGGAGGAAAATTACTTATATAGAGTATGGAAGATCAAAAGTTTCATCATTAAGGGGCTAGAGTTAGTGGGCCACGTGTGCACCTGAAGTAGGGTGGCAGGGGTAGCAGTTGCAATTTACATCCCCTAGGCTGAAAAAGTGATGATGGCCCACGATTTTGGTAGTTCCCGAGAAAATCGCCATGATGAAACATGACGTCAGGAACGTGCATCAAGGTGGCGGAGCAGAGTCTTGCGTGCTTTCCTCTATTTCCTTTTCTCCCTTTCACCTTCCCAGACATGTATTGGGTGAAAGAATATCAGCTGACACGTATGAAGAAAATGAGCGGCATCAAAATCAGATGCTGTCAAAAAATGTGCTTTTCCACATCAGAGATCGAAAAGACATTTTTGGGAGGAAATTTGTTAGCTCCTAAATTCGACGCCTCTTGCAAAATAAAGGAATTTAAGGAGAAGCACCAAAAGCGGGTTGAAAGCAAAGGTTGGTCGAAAGGCGTGAGGCAGCTAAAGGAAGTAGTCGAAGGACTCACTAGGATTGAAGAAAAACTACAAGGGCTTCGATTGTTTACTGTTTGGTGATTTATTGAAGACTTGAAATTCAAAAACGTGGAGGGAACAGTTTCGTTTGCCAAGTGGCTAGGAGGACACATGACACCTTATGAGCAGCGGATCCATGCATTGTGACAAGTGGCAAAAGATGGTGATGTTGGAAGTTATTAGTAGTTATTTTTTACTATTATAAATAGGGTGTCTTAGACATGAAATAAGTGTGTTGTAATTTATTATTGTACAAATTACTCTTAGAATAACTCCAAGTATCCGAGCGTAGAGAAAGCGAGTATTACAGAGAATGTACGTAATGTAAACACACCATCTTTTATCTTAATGAAATTTACTTTACTTGCTTTAAACTTTACAAAGTCTTTTCATTTTCCTTGCACCCTTCTTCCTTATCCTTCTCCTTTCTTCCTTCTCTATGCAATTCTCTTCTCTTCGTCCTTAATCTTTCTTCTCCCAAACAAACTTCTTTCTTTTCTTTGTTGAAAACTTTATCTTTTGATTCGTCCCGTAGTCGAGTATATATTTCCTTTAGATTCCTTTACTGCAATATGGCCAGAGTGTGAAACTTAGATAGAATCAACGAGAATAACCCTTTAGCACATGTCCTAGGATCAATTTGATCGATCCTGTGAGTCACCAAAGTTAGATTTGAAAGATCAGCGGTTGTTTTCCGATTTTCAAGGGAAACAACATCATACATCAACAAGAGAAAATAAGTGGATTCGATACACAACATGACCGTCTTATTATCTCTGTTTAAAAACTCTTATTTTGTTTTTCATTCTACAACCCAAAACCCCTTATTATTTGGTGTTTTCTGTTACATTGCATAATTATTGTCTTGTTCAAACACAGTTCTTGTAGATTCAATCTTTTATTACTATGACACTATCAGTACACTTGCCGAGAAGTCATCAGTGATCTTTTAAGAAGTTTCCTAGAATGCGTGCGAGTGAGGATAAAACATGCTGAAAAGACCCGTGTTAGTTTATGAGATTAGTTGACAATCCTTAAAGCAGTCTGGGGTGTTACACTACACAACAAATTGTTGCCTCCCTACAAACTAAGATAAGCCAACAAGAGTTTAATGTCGGTAAGCATTTCTTATTCATGCATTGTAGGGAGCATTGAAGGCTTGAACGAAGGTCCGCCTTGCTGAAACTGTGGTGTAGATATGAGGAATAAAGGAGGTTGAAACACTAACTGATATTTCCTAGGTTGGGCATGATCTTGAGGTAATGGAATAAATGAAGCAGTTGACAGGACTTGATTGCTCGTCCCTTAAGTTGGGAAGGGGGAGGATTCTTAGTCACCTCAGCAACAACAAAAAGTTATTGTTGGACAACAGAGCGAGTAGCTTTGGAAGCAGCCATCATTGACAATTACAATGAATGATTTGAATGAGATTTTGAATCTAACGTAAGTGATTAGGAAATGGAGATTTGTGCTTCGATTGAAAGAGATATGAATTTCTTATTGGAGAAGGCTAGATAAAATCGAGAGAAGTTTAATCGTGAAGAATCATAAAAATGAGAAACTGATTTCATAGACGACGCCAATATTTTGTGTTGGATCTACAATTGATTGGAGAGTATGAATCTAGAGTTGACTTCGGTGGTTTAGAGCTTCTGATACATTTGAGAAAGAGTCAGTTTACAATGTTAACACATCAACGTTCAAGTCAGTAAAATAGTGAAAATTAAAATTTGAATAATAAATTATTTAAATACATGTTAAATGGTGCATTTTTCTCTATAAATAAAAAAAAATGGTTTGTAACTGCATGCATGATATGCATTTGTTCGTAATATTAATCTGAACGATCGAAAAACCACTAGATGAAATATTACTTACTTGTCTAAGAAAAAGAGTACAACTGTTAATGTCAAATGCTATCTTAGCTGTTATTAGGCTTGATTGTCATATTGATCTGGACGATCAAAAAGTCACTTGATAAAAAATTATTTACTTTTCTAAGAGAAAGAGTACAACTGTTATCTCAAATGCTGTCTTAGTTGTTATTGAACTTACGCTTCTTTAAATTTTGAGAACGGACCAAAACAATTAATTAAGAAAAGATTATTTTAAAAAATTTAAAAAGGATGATCTTCTACTAGAGTGTTTCGTGTCAAATAACAAAAGGGGTATCTTGGTGAGTGGATTCCCCCGGAAAAAGGATTAAGAATAGTGCCAAAATCAGCAAGTCCGTCCAATGTACCATAATAATTATTTATAACGTAACGCGCGCCGAGTGATTGGCCACAATGTCAAAAAGCATTGGCGAAATATCACGATAACGTGTATCCAATGTCTCTAACTTCTAATATTTTCATCAACCATTAAAAAAAAGTCTAACTCATTTCCACTACTTTCCATTTTATTATTATAAAAAAAGTCGATAATTTTTAACAATATTCCCCTCCGACATTCAAAGTAAACAGACGCCTTCTTTCTTTGTCTTCGCATGTTTTATGTCTTGTGGATAAGCTTCAATCTTCATATGCCGCTCCACCATTCCTCTCCCTTTCCCACTCTTTCTTTCAACCTTATTTTATTTATTATCATGTTTTGCTGTCATTAATTAATGAGCATGCCTTCAAAACAAAATCAAATAAAAAAAAAATGTTTTCTTTACTTTAATTTTCTCCCACGCAAATTTTAAAATAATTCTTCAAATCACCGCGACTTTCAAATTCCTCGTTCTTCATGCACCATAGTACAATACAATCCTCGCAGTCCACACGTCTTTTTTCTCCTTTCCTTGCTGTTTCAAATTTCACAATCCACATCATCTATCTGTTTTCATATAAATACCCTTCTCTCTTCCCTTATCCACTTCAACTCCACAACACAAAACACAACAATAACTCTAACTCTATTCTCATTCATATCATTTAAAAAGAAAAACACTACTACTAACAATTTTACTTATATTCAAACATGGTTGATTTACACTGGAAATTAAACATGCCAAATTCCGACATGCCTTCCAAATCTCCAAAACTCTCTATCTCCGACAAGTCCTCCTCCTCACCGCGTAACTCCCTACCCTTGTTGCAACCACCTTCAATCACGAATGATATCTCGGCCGCGGCGCCTCCTCTTTGCGCGGCTTACGATTACTATCTCCGCCTCCCGGACCTCCACAAGCTTTGGGAATCAAGAGAATTTCCAAACTGGAACAACGAACCAGTCCTAAAACCTGCTTTGCAAGCTCTCGAAATCACGTTCCGTTTCATCTCTACGGTTCTCTCCGACCCCAGACCCTATACGAATCGTTCAGAATGGAATCGCAGACTCGAATCCATCGCCACGCAGCAGATTGAGATTATCGCCATGCTATGTGAAGATGAAGAACAAAACCCCGAGACACGTGGCACAGTACCAACCGCTTATCTCAGCAGCGGCGATAGCAAAAGCAGAAGCTACAGCGAGACGAGTCTCCTTCCACGGCTTGCCACGTGGTACAAATCAAAGGACGTGGCGCAGAGGATTCTTCTCTCGGTGGAATGTCAAATGATGAGGTGTTCTTATACGCTAGGTTTGGGTGAACCGAACCTCGCTGGAAAACCGAGCCTAAGATACGACGCCGTTTGCAAGCCGAACGAAGTTCACACGCTGAAAACGACGCCGTACGACGATCGTATCGAGAACTACGAGAATCACGCGGTGCACGCGACTCATCAGATCGTTGAGTCGTGGATCCACGTATCACGGAAGCTTCTGGAAAGAATCAGCGACGCGATTGAGGGGAGAAGGTTGGAGAAAGCGTCGGAGGATTGTTACGCGGTGGAGAGGATCTGGAAGCTTCTTTCTGATATTGAAGACGTTCATCTGATGATGGATCCAGCTGATTTCTTGAAGCTGAAGAATCAGTTATCCATGAAATCGTCATCATACGAAACGGCGGCGTTTTGCATGCGGTCGAAGGAGTTGGTAAACGTGACGAAGATGTGTAGAGATTTGCGGCATAGAGTGCCGGAGATATTGGAAGTGGAGGCGGACCCTAAAGGTGGACCAAGGATTCAAGAGGCGGCGATGAAGCTGTATGTGGCGGAGAAGATGAGTGGGTTCGAGAAGGTTCACTTGTTGCAGGCTATGCAAGCTATTGAAGTTTCTATGAAGAGATTCTTCTATGGTTACAAGCAGGTGCTGACGGTGGTGATGGGGAGTTCTGAAGCGAATGGAAACCGAGTTGGGTTGAGTTGCGACGGCGGTGACTCGTTGACTCATATGTTTCTTGAGCCCACTTATTTTCCAAGTTTGGATGCTGCTAAGACTTTTCTTGGATACTTTTGGGATAATGATAACAAATGGGTGTGAGAAAATTTAATTTACTATAGATTGATAGCGAAACATAAAAAAGAAAATATGTATGATCATTAAATTCTTTCCTTTAAAAAAAAAAAATACTATAGTGGATTAAATTTCTGGTAAAAGAAAAATTGAATTTTGTAAGCTCTTGTTGTATGCCAAATTAGTAAAATACTACTATTTCAACAAATTTTTATGAGATCTCTTCTCAACTTGGGTTTTGTCCGGTGATAAGAAATTGAAAAAAAAAACATACTATCTTTATTCTAATTTTATAAAAATAAATAAATAAAAACATTTATTTTAAAAAGACTATAATTATAAGAAAAAATATAATTATATTTATTGAGAAAACATTCTTCGCTTAAGAATTCTAATGGATAACTCATTTGACAAGTAGGAGCCAGCTTCTATTTCTATTTCTAATTTGAATGACAATTTGACCAATTTTAAGTGGATATTCAACAAAGATATCTATAACAGATAGAATAAAAAATCAGGCATGTTTTGGATAATTGTGTATGTATTAGTCCAGAATTCATCTCATATTTGCTTGTATAATATATTTATCTATTTTAATTTATATTATATATTTATTAATTTTAAAAAATATATCAATGAATTTTTTTTATATATTTTAATACAAATATTTATTTATTTCATAATTTAATAAAAAGAATTTGAAATTTTATTTAATGTTAATAAAATTCTAAGAGATTATATTTTATAATTAATATATTTATTTTTATTAAAAATGCTCATATATAGAATTTGGTTTTGGTGTCCAAGTTTGTATGGACTTTAACACAATTTTTTTTCTTCATATTATAGGTATAGGTATGAAGATATGTACTATAGTACTCTATCCAAACTCTATCTATTGTCATCCATAGCTTTCGAGCCTCTCTTTTATATCCATTCTTTATTGTCTAACCCTATTCTTTATTGTCTAATCTGATACAGGGGCTTTAAATGTCATTAATCAACATAATGAGCATTCATAGTCATTTACTCGATAATTATCATACCGTGAAGGCATGTTTGAACATATTGATGACATATGATAATTGCTTATAATGTTTATCCACAATTATCTTGCCAAGGGCAGCCTTCGCAACGACAAAAATAGGTTATGTCCGACTTACTTATGGCCATAACCTAGTTCACATTAATCTTTTAGGATATACACAATCTTTCAAGCATGAGGCCTAGAGGGACTAGATGCTTAAAAGAAAGTGTTATACCACAAATTTTACCCCTAAATTTCATCATCATTTGCATAGCATCCAACACATTTTAGGTGTGTCATTCATGCATAGCTAAACCTCAAAATTATCAAAATATTGTTTTGTTTTACTTTGTTTATGAATTAAGGTTTGCATCAAGGAGATTATTGGTTGATTAGTCAAAGTCTTGAATTGATCATCAATATATCAAGTTCTCATGATCAAGAGTTTTCCTACATCAACATTCAAGTGTATTGTGGCCTCATTACAAGTTTATCAAGTTTCAAATTCATCTAGTCCACAAATTAGGATTTCTTAGCCAAAGTCAATTGCACCTTTGACTTTTGACCAAGACATGATCTCAAGCCTTGGGGAATGATTCAAGACACTCAAAGACATCTTTGGAGTCCATCCATAGTGTTCAAATAGGTTAAGAGTTTGATTTCATTGAAGTATGCAATTTGGATTTCATCTGATACAAAAGTCAACCACTGATCAAAGTCAAGTTTGACTTTTGACTTTTTGTGTTAAACATGGACTTCTCAAGTCAAAGATCATGAAAAAAAATATGATTTTCATCATGATCAATCATGAAAATCAAGGAAAACACCAAAGGATCAAGATTTTGGAAAATTAGGGTTTCATGATTTTTTTCTAAGTTATGAAATTCTATGATTTTTACTCAACTTTTCAAGCTCATAACTTCCTCATCAAGTAACCATTTTCTTTGCTCCAAAGAACAAATTGAAGAGCTTTATTCATACTAAAACATTGTTCTAGAGGATGATTTCCCAAAAAAATGCATGGATTAAGAGATATGAGGCCATGAAGTGGAAGGTTCAATACTTTTTGAACAAAAACACTTAGAAAAATTTTCAACAAAATCTGCCTTGTCAAGTGACTCATTTGTTGACCATTTTCACCATGATCCTTTTTAAATCAAGGAAAGTTGTCAACATGAAAGTTGTAGAGGATGTTTTAAGCTTCCAAAGAGTCCAAGAACACAATTTTATCATATGTAAGATAGGAGTTTTGAAAAGATGAAGTTAGCCTTCCAAACTTGAATTTTAGTTCATGTTCATGACAAATTCTTGTTGCAAATCCTAGCCAAAGCTATGCAATCTTGATTTACAGACCACGTTACTTGTAAATCTCCCTCTAATTAGATGTTTACACAAGTTTGTGATGCATTATCCAAAGACTTGAGCCATTAACCAAGTTGTAATGCCATTTATGGATTGTTTTGGAAGAAAGTTCACAATGCCATTTGCATAAAGTGACTTTAATCAAGAATTCAACTTGTCTTAAGCCTCTACATTATTTTTTCTGCATACAAACTTTTCTTTGCACAGAAGTAACACCTCTATAGGATTTAACCACTCTAGAAAAGAATTGTACTATGCTTTGAAACCACTAGAACTCATGAAGCTACCATTTTGAATCCAACCAAACCATTTGCACCAAACTTGAATTCAACCTCCATTTTCCCAAACTTGTCCAAAACCTTCTCCATGCACAAGTTGGAGTTGTTTCAATACAAAGTGAGCATTGCAAAAGCATCTGAGGGGGTCATAGAAGCTTTCTGAATCATCACACACTTTTTGTAATCAGTTGAAGAGGGCATTGGACCTTTCTTCAATAAGTAAGTGAATTCTCCATTGAAATTATGTAATTCTGATGTCATTTGCATACATTTGAGTTACCAACTTGTTTGCCATTATGTGAAGGTCATTTTCCTCAATTGCTCTGAATATGGTTTGTGTGGAATTTTATTTTGCATTTTAGTTTTAGGGTTTTTTCTTGTTCTTGCGTGATTACTTGTTGTGTGTTAAAAATTAATAAAATCAAATGATACCATCAGATTCCTTGTGAAAAATCAATCAACTTTCATGTTTACACCTTAGCATTTTATTAAGTATTGAGTGAGATAGCATGTTCAAGGTTTTCAAAAATGGAGGAAGGTGATGATGATCAGATGGCGTGTCTTTTCATCATTTGAATTTGTTTTAATATTTATTTTATTGTTTCCATATGATTAATGAATTGGGCATTGCCCCATGGTGGTAAGTGTGTTTGTGTGTGAGGCTTAGGTCTGGGGTTCAAGTCCCCCTCGCCCCAGACCTTTTGTGCTTTTATTTTTTTTAACATTTTCATGTTTCAACCATAATATATTATGTATCGCACACGCGTTTTGTTAAGTTAAGTCATGTGGCATAGTGGTAATGTTTTAGGATGCAGACAAGGGTGCGTGAGTTCAAGCCATGTATGGACCATTTCCTTTCTTTTTTATCACTTGTGTGCCTCGTGTTTCTTTTTCAATTTTGTTTCAATCATACCTCTCAATCTATACATTATTTTGAGCTAATTTTTTGCACACTTGTTATTTGTTATGCCTATTTTGTGAATATGTGAAAAATTCCAAAAAATATTTTATTTTAAATCATTTTTATTTATTCAAAGTGGTTGACTTTTTAATGTATGTTTATGTCTTTAAATGATTTTCTTTGGTCTATTTCTTGATTCCTTTTGATATTAGTGATTGTTGTGAATATGATACACCTTTTTTTAACCTTGTTTGGTGTTGTTAATATTTTTCAATTGGTTTTTTGCTCAAATTTGACACACTTTAACACTTGATTTTTATGTATATATGCCTTGAACTTTTAATGTTTAATTGTGAACATTTGCCTTGCCTTTGATGTGTGATGTAAATACACTTATTTGTTTTTTCCTACCACATTGAATACACTTGGTAAATAACTTGTTTTGTTACTTTAGTCTTGTTAGAACCATGTCTCATGTATGCTTTGACTATGCACCATCCATGTTTATGTATTCATTCTTGATTGTTGCCATGATTTATTTATGACTTTGTTAACTCTTGTCTTAGATGTTGTCACATCTACCTTCATGTGTTGGTTGTTACCATGTTCATTTGAATTTGTTATATCTCATTTCATCTAATGTGATCCTTTGATTAACATCATGTTTGAATGTCATCTTTGCCATGTGTTGCACCCCAAAATTTGCCCAACCTTTACCACTTGGTTTATGTTTCATTGCATTAGCATAGCATGGTTCTAGCATTTGCATAGCATAACATCCTTCATTTAACAGGGGATCAAGTGTGATACATGACAAGAGAAGCCTAGCTAGAGGTCTTATGCAAACTTAAGAAGTTATCAGGGTCACCAGACAGAGGGTTGAGTTCTTGGGAAGTTTGAATGCTTGTATAGGGCTCATCTCCTCACTTGGAGCCAGTTGAAGATCAACAATGGATTGTAAGGCCTTGATCAAGGAGAGAATGTGTGGGTAGATCTAATTGAAGTGCCTTGAAGGTCATGTTGGAGCTCAATCAAGTCATTTTATCAAGAGCAAGAGCCACAATTAAAGTGGATGTCACTAGGGTTTCATCTGGTTAATCCTAGGCCAAAATGAGCAATTCAAGAAGATCAAAGCCTACTTCTAGGTCATTGAGATCATGAAATGATATGTTGAGGCATATGAAAGTTTGTTTCAAGATCAAGTTGAGAAGAGTCAAGAGTGGTTGGAGTTGCTAAGTCAGGGTTCCTAGGGTAAAATCCCCTATTTAGTGCCAAACTTCCAAGCCATGTAAGTCAAGATACAAGTCTCATATGACTTTGGCCTCCACATGAATGTTGTAGAGTATGTTCATAGATTTAATTTGAGTACTAGAAGTCCTCCATTGGATTTATAGAACTCAAGTTATGGTCCAGACATGTTACAGGTCCTCAGATGCATCTGAAATTTGTCTGTGAAAAT